GTGGCTTTGTCGTTCCTGCGAGCGAAATTAAATATTCCACATGAAATATTGAATATCCGCCTTTTGCTCAGTCACCCGGGGCGCTCCAGCCTCGTCGCATTGGACAAAGCCCGCGCCGAGACGCGGTGTGAGCGGGGCCGGGGCCTCGGAGCTCCCACCAGGGACGTTCAAAGCCTCCCCAGGCGCTTCGCTCCGCTCAGCTCGTCCTTACTGCCTGGGTGCACGAAGGGCTGACGGGCCGCGATTCGGGACAAGACCCGTAATTTAAGCGTGTCCGTATGTCCCACCGCCCCGCGAGCCGGGCTGTTTCCAAGGCCTCAGCTGCTGTGCCGCAGTCCTGGCCGGGGCAATAACCCCACGGCCCGGCCACGGCCACGCCGCTGCCCGTCAGTGATGAGCAATACACGGCACGGGACGCAGCTCAGCATCCAGCCAGCCAGAGACAACCAGCCGTGGGGGCATCCAGTACGGCTCGTGGTGGCTGAGAGCACAGTTTAGGTTCTGGGCAACCCTTCAGATGAGGTAAAACAGCCACCCCTCCGTTTTAGTGCTTGGAAAATGGAAAAGTAGAGGATCGCACAGGACAACCCAGTATAGTAGGAGAGCAGAGCATGGGTACTCTGGGGCCAGAGGCACAGATTTTTCCTGGCCCCAAGCGTCATCCTGGAGCAGTTCTGCCAGTGTGCCCCTCCAGGAAGGGGACAGCCAGCCCTGAGCTGCAGCAACTCCCTGCTAATCACAGTGAGCAGGGACTTGGGAATCGCTTCCCTTTCACCTCAAGGTGAATCAGAGCACCACAACTCACGGATCACCCTGCCCTCACAGCGTCCTCCCTGCCTGCAGAGGGAGGATCCCGATGCTGCAGAGCTTCACGCTGCTGCTGGGAGAAAGGGTTCTGGCCCATCTCTACAATCACCAAAACACCCAGACCAGGGTGTTGGACAGATAGTTTTGGGGTTCCTCACGCAGGATGGGGCTGCAGGACCTCTTCTTTGCATGGCTTGGGGGGGCTGAAAACCCCAAGGCTGAGCACACACAAGCAAAGCCAGGCAGAGCAGACACCCCCACATCCACATCTTGGGGAGGACCCCTACCCTCATGCTCAAAATCAAAGTCAAGAGCAAGGAAAAGTCCTCTCAGCTGCTTTCTCCCCGAAATGCTGAGAATTTGGGAAAAAATAGTGCTATGCAAATGCAGTGGCATTTAGCTGTGGCCTTTTTCCGTATGCATGTGAAAGGGGGGACCTCGCTGTGGGCGCTTCTCTCCCCAGGCAAGCTAAAAGGCCGCAGCAGGGACTCATGCCTTTTTAATCAAGGGATTTGCAGGTAGGACCCCCTGCCCCATCTGCTCTTCCGTTCGCGCTGGGAAGGCTCTCTTTGATAACAGGAGCTAATTGCCACAAACCTCCCAGGGTGGGCTGTTTGGGGACTTTAAGAAAGTCTTTGTAAGTAATAGCAGAAGAGGGCTATGCGGGGGGGGAATTAAACAGCACCTTGGTTGCATTTTCAGCAGGTCCTTCCCAAGGTCCCATCAGTGAGGTCCTTCCTTGCAATTTCAGCCCTGCCGGCCCACAGCTGCCCCCAAGGCTGGTCTGCCAGGGAGCCCTACGTGAAGCCAGCTAATACATGCCCTGCTGACTCCAGATAACACCAAGGATTATTTTTTTTTTAATCATGGTATAGCTTTCAACCCAACAACGTACACATTTTTGTACACCCAATAGGTCAGAGTCATAGTCTCGTCCAAAGCCAAAAGGGCAGGCTGGCAAGGCGACTTTCCAGGAAACCATATTTATGGGCTTTATTTGTATGTTTAATCTCTAAATTGTGAATTAATTGCTCCCTTGTTTTGCTGATGGCAGAGGGAAGGTTAAGCAGTCCAGGGCACTTAGGAAATCCTTCAAAATCTTGGAATTGTTTTTACAATCCTCATTTTTTTTGTAATGGTCCAAATTTTGTCAGGAGTTAACACCGGAGGCCCAATGAGCGCTCCTTGTCCTGGTACAGCTCTTGCTGGGAGCTACATTTACCAGGGATTTGAAAGCTTCACCTACGAGTAGAAACCATTTCATATCTCCCTCGAGATAGACAATAAACTGCCTTTTCTAGCTATGTCACCCAAGATGGGGTATTCTGCAGCTGCGTTTCCAAGAAAGAACAAGAAGAACTATTGAACGTCTCTGCCTTTCGCGCCTGTTTCTGGAGTGCCTGTCTCTCTGCGTCAGCTGGGCGTTACCTGACTGCTCACGCTTTTCCTTCCAGATGTTCTGGAAATGCCTCCTTACCACCTAGACCACCGCTACCGCTACTCCAGAGCATCCCTGGCACTTACCCATCTTTCTTTTTGAACCCAAAAGTTATTTTTTGCTCTTCATCTTCCCCCATGCCACAGCAAGGTGGTGCAGAGAGAGGAAATTTGGTCCCTCATGGAAAATCAGTGTGTGAGGAGGGGTGGAAAGAGGCCCTCATTTTTAAGCTCAGCTGCTCAAGGGCTCCAGTGCCGCTGCTGTTCAGCAGCCCCCAACCTTTCCCAAACTGCCTCTGTGGGCCAGGGCATGTGGGATTCAGACGGAGCAGCAGGAGCACAGCCCATCGCCTCCCACCGCAGCCTCAAAGACCTTGCTCCTCACCCGCTGTGGGACACAGCTGGCCAGGCTTCCAGCTTTCCAAAATCACTGCATTTCCCTGCAAAACTCTGCAGGTGCAATGCTTGCAGGGGATTCAGTGCTTTCCCACTAGATGGAGTCCGGGAGAAAATACAAGCCTCAGCGATGATGCATAAGGGAAGGGAGAGAAATCCCCGAAAGGGCTGTGGGGCTGCAAGTGGGACAGGGCATGGGAAGCTGTGCTTAGGGCATCCCCCGTCCTGAATGCAAATATTGGGGACAGCCGTCTGCATCCCATGTTCCACGTTGATTTCTTCATGGAAAAGCAGGCCTGGCTGAGCCCTGGGAAGTGACCAGCCCTTCTTGCCCACCACCCTGGGGAGATGCTCTTTGTAGCTGCCTTACTGAACTGCTCAGCCCACTGCTGGGAGCTTGCATGGAATTTTCCTGTTGCATGCTCACGGTTCCCTGCATGTTCAGGGTTAGCATGGGGAGATCTAAAGAAGGAAAAAAAGCAACTGGGCTGCCTATTGCTGTGTCTTTTGCTTCTCAGAGGCATTTGCCTCTGGGCTGCGGGCTCCCAAAGGCCTCATATTGGAGCCAGACTCATGCACAGGGGCGCATGTCACAGGGTCAGGCCCTGCACAGCGCTGGAGCCTCCTTTTGCACCCTGGTCTGCCCAAGCTGCCTTCTGCAAACGTCTCCACCTGCTCCGTGGGCACAACACCAGCACACAGCTGCTGCCAAACCCACACCAGACCTGCTGTCCCACGCACAGGGACCCACAACCCCTTTCCCAGAGAGACCATCCCTGCCTGCGTGTCCAAGCCATATGGCTGCTGCCAGCCCCATAGTGAGGGGCCCCACAGGATGGCTGCCCATCCTCACTGCAGCTGGGCACAACCTGCCCCACCAGCCCCAACAGGGAAGCACAGCGCCCCATGGGCCCTGTCCATGAGCACACAGCCTTTGAGCTCAGCTATTTATTTGCTCTCCGTCGGAAGCCACACACCGCTGGGGCCACGTCCTCCTGCCACGCTGGCATCTGGAGGCATCACTCACCACTCAGCAGCACCCCGGGGGACCACAGGTGCCACTGGGATGGCAGGCAGGAGCTGGGGCTGCCAGCCGCTCCACCAGCTGGAAGGGATCGCAGATCTTCTCCTGGAGGGCAGAGAACAACCCGGGGTAGGATCAGGCCAGAGAGAAGCAAGAGGGAAAAGCAGCATGTCCCCAGCACTTGCTCCCTGTGAGTGGGGTGGCCCAAGCAGACCCCCCCCCATAGCTAATGTGGCGGCAGCCCCCATGTCATTCCAGCTGCTTTTCCGTGCCATGAGGAGGATGCCAAGAGCTTCTCTGGGACATTGGCTCTGCTTTTATCTGAGAAATGCCTCCTGCTTGGACAGGGACCCAAGAACATCTCCCCCTCCCCAAGTACAAGGTTGTGTTTCAGGGACACGCAGCTGCAGGGTGTTATCATCTCCCTCATGCACCAACGCTCTCTGCTTTTCAGCCTCTCCTGGCCCATCTGCAGGCTGGAAGGACCACTGAGGGGAGGAGGAGAGAGGCTTCCAGCAGATAGAGGTGCTTTGTGCTGCGGGGTCAGGGCTGGCAGCCAGGGCCAAGCTCACATCAGCAGCTGGGAGGTGCTGGGAGAGCAATGGGGAGGAAGGAGCCCAGGGGATCGGCCACCATCTCCCTGGAGCAGGCTTTCCCCAGCCATCTTCTGGAGGAAGGATGTCTCCCCTTGGGAGACATCAAGCAGGTCCAGCCATCAGCCTCGGCAGGCCCCACGGACATGTTGGGGGGAGGGCAAGAAGCTCTCATGCCTGGTGGTTAGAGCAGACGCCCCCCCTCTTTGGAGGCTTCAGCCTGTGCTGGGGTGCAGTTGCCCAAACTCAGACACCAGGCACCACCTTTGGTGACCCACAGGCTCCTGCCTGGCCCAGAAGGCCTCAGGACTCTTGGTGTCACACCATAGCCCCTCCGATACCCCAGCACAACTCTGATAGCATGGGACATCCATGTCCCCATCCCTGAACTCAGTCATGGAGCTGCCTGCTACTTGCCTTCACCCCCTTGCAACAGCAGCCCTGAGGTGTGGCAGTGTTGGCCCCGCCAGCTCGGATCAGGAACTCCTCCGCAAACCTAGAGCTCCGCAAGATTGCAGCCATCTCAGCATCCACATCCACCACCTCTCCTTCCTGGGGATAGAGAGAGAGTCACAGAGCTGGGGTCTGGGACATGTGGCCCAGGGTACCCCAGCCACCCAGTCAGACAGTGGGTGGGGGGCAAAAGCAGGGGCACAGCCTGACCCAAAACCTTGAGAAAGACCCACAATGACCAAGCAGCTGGCTCCAAATCCCCTTGTGAAGCCACTACAGATGCCCTGTTCCCACCTCCACCCCAATCCAATGCATGGGTCTGGCTCCCTTTCCTGTCCCTGCTTGCAGCTCCCCTGGTTTATACAGCCCCTCTGCTCCCACCCGTCACATCCTCTACCAAAGCTTACCCCCAAAATCACAGAGGCCACTGCTGAGCAGCATTTCTTCACCAGCTCTGTCCCATCCCCAGCCCTACACACCAGGAGTGTTTGGCATCCTGGGGATCCCCACCCCGCACCTTGAAGGTGAAGTTGGCATCAAACAACAGCTCTCGCTCATGCCCCACGATCCCGCCATTGTAGATGACCTGGCCCGGCCCAGCCCGGCTGCTACCCGGCACCTTGAACAGGCGGAATGTCGCAGAGACGAAGCGGCAGTCACCTGCAAGGGAGAGGTTGGTGGGCTGGGCGCCGACTGCCCTGGCTGGGAAGCGGCAGAGCCCAGGACCCCAGCACAGCTTCCCACAGCTGCCCAGAGCCAACACCCCCTGGTTGGACCCTCACCAATGATGCCCTCCAGCTCCTTGTCACTGATGGTGATGGGGCTGGCAGTGACCAGGCACGGGGGGCTGAACCCCACCTCCTCAGCAATGCTGTACAGGTCTCTCCAGTACAGGGCTCCCGCCAGGCACTCTCCTGGCATGAGACAACAGACAGGGGTGACGGAGGCAAAGGTCTGGTCCCCCCATCCCGTGCCATCCCCATTCCGGAGCCCTACGCACCCCACAGCACCCTGTGCTTCCGGACGGCTTCGCTCAGGCGCTGGCTGGCATAGACATCACTGAAGTACATCTCTCCTCCGGGCTGGAAGGCAGTGAGAAGTGAAAGGGAGACCCCAAGAAGCAACAGGACAAAAGAGGCAGGGAGAACTGGGCACCCCACAACACTACCCTGCTTGGGACCCTCTGCAGAGGTGCCCTCCCCTGGCCCCATCCCGCATCCCCGCCTTGCTGGATCCCATTTGCTGCATCCCAGAGGCACCCCGACAGCAGGGCCACCCCAACCCTGCTCCAATCCCATCGTGGGCGCTGGCCCTGGTGTTACCTTCAGCACGCGGTAGGCCTCCCGCAGCACGGCCCTCTTGTCGGGGGCAAGGTTGATCACGCAGTTGGAGCTGGGGAGGAAGAGACCGAGGATCATTTGCACCCTCTCACACACTCAGCACCACCAGCTGCTGCACATCCACCAGCTGCTGCACGTCCCATCACTCCATGCAGGATTTGGAGATGCCAATTTGACCATAAAAAGGGCAGTTTCTATATTCCCAGGCTCTAGCCCAGACTCTGCCTTGGGATTTTCCCTTTCCTAACACGTGCTCCTGAAGTGAGTGACCTGGTGGGATGAGGACCTGGACCCAAGCCCGCAGCCCCTGGTGGCAGCAGGACCGGGGGTGGCAGTGCCCTGTGTGGTACCTACATGACAATATCATAGCTCTCATCAGCCAGCCCGGCATCACCCAGCTTCTCCATGTAACCCTGAAGGAACTCCACATTCGGCTTTTGGTAGCCAAACTTGTCCATGTGGTAGGCGATGTGCTTCTTTGCCACCTTGACCTAGGAGGAGGAAGAGAACGATGGTGGGGAGGATGCTGGGGGGACGGGGGGAAGCCCCAGCTCCGCACCGTACCTGGCCCTCAGTCATGTCTATCCCGGTGACATGGCCCCGCTCCCCAACCAGCTGGCTCAGCAGGTAGCAGTCTCTGCCGCTGCCGCTGCCCAGGTCCAGGATCCGGCAGGATGCCAGGCACTCGGGGATCACCAGACCGCAGCCGTAGTACCTGGGGGGATGCCAAGCTGAGCCGGGTGGAGGTGCCCCCGTGGCACGGGGGTCTGGGGGGCCGCAGCCCACAGGGAGGCAGCAGCAGAGGGGAGACCCTGGGGTTTACCTGGCCACCACCTCCTCGTGGACACGCTCCAGAGCATCCCTCACCGCCTTGGGAAGGGGCCTGGCCGTGGTGACACAAGCATTGGTTTTCAGGTCCTCCGACTTCTGCAGCTCTTTGCCATAGTAATCCTGAGATGGGAAGGACAGAGGCCACCAAACCATGGCAAGCTGTGCCCCACACACCACGCCTGCACTCAGCTTGTACGCGCCCCCAGCATCCTCCGGTGCTCTCATTTGCACCCAGCTAAAAATCAGGCTAACATCAAGCATCCATTTGCCCCCATCCTCCTCGTCTGCCCTTGCTTCCACGTACAGACGCATTTGCACAGTAGGGGATTTAATTCCCATTTGCAGGAACTTTGCAGGCTGCAGCTGCTGCTTCCCTGGCCAAGAGGGGTGTGGGGGAGGAGATCAGGGCTGCTCGGCCCCTCCATCCCTGCGGGAAACGGCAGCAAAGCAGCCAACTGCACCAAGTGGTTTTATCTGGGCCCCAAAACGAGCTTTGTCCCCTGGCTGCGGCAGGCGCCCCGGGGGGGCCCAGGCTC